GCAGCTGCTCTAGACGATGGCAGTGCTGCCCAGCAAATTACTGAGCAGGCAGAGGCAGAATTCCCTGCACTGTGTGTTAATCACCTCCTTCCAGAGGGTGAACACAGAGAACAACCTTGCCAATAATACGGTGTGGGAGCACAGGCTTTAGGCCACGGTCTCTTAAATCTCCCAGCCTACAGCCTGACACGGTTCCATCACCAAAGTTATGCTAAACCCAAATGAGCAAGATCTGCAAGAGAAGGCAAGCAAAACTAAAACGAGAAAGCTAAGTCACGGCAGAAATGATTTTAGACACAGTTTTCAAAGTATAAAAGGCAGACTAAAACAGATTCCACTTAGTTAACAGTGGGCATAAATAGAATAACAGAAACCATCTGACAAAAGCACAAAAGCACGGAAACTGCCAAACATGTGATTGCATCAGATGTTAATGATGATCAAACCTTATACAACAAACAGATTTGGAGAAGTCAATGCCTTCACCCAGCATATGCCTGCACTCTGTGTTGAAGTGCAATCTTCTCTTCTGAGATACTCGGATTAGAATTCAGATGTAATTACAGTCATGTTTAAAAGTAGATAATATGTGTCACAGATTAGTTACCTATGTGTTTGGCAGATTTTTTCAGAGTCCTCATAACAGTTCTTCAGCTCTGGCAGCAATTCAGAGACAACACTCACAATTTTAAAATTTGATCAGGATTTGGGTAATAAGTCAATATGGCCTGGTACACACAGAAAGCAAATCCATTTTACATAAAGAGCTTTTTCTTAGCAAAGACGCACAGCATCTGAACAAAGCTCTGAGCTTTAAAAATACAGCTACTTATTTCAGAGTTGAAATGAAGTAGAAATAAACATTTTCTCTCCCAGATGGTACAATTCTGACGGAAAATTAGTTCAGTGGTATCAACAAGTACAGCCCCAAATATCGGGGACAACCATTTTATATGCTCACGCTGAATTCAACAGAACCTTCCACGTTCATAAAATTATATCTCTGTGTGTCAGTGCATGACTCCTGCCCTTTATTGCTGAAAGAAAGTGCTTCCTAACCTTAATATAACTAATGAGCATCAGCCAACCTTCAGTCAGCTCACAGTGAACACAAGGTTCTTTAATTTTACCAAAACATGACCTCAGTGAGATTGACTTAATTCCACTTTCAGGAGTGATACTGCCTCAGTTAACCTCAACGGAACATCAGAGAGTCTTGAACTGGCCGTGGGTTTTACCTGGGATAACTGAAATGCATTAGTCACTGCAGATAAAAACTAATAAACAAACAAAAGCCCACAACTTTTTTTTTTTTAGATCAAAAAGCTAAGCTCTATTATTCAAGGGCTGAGACTGATTTGTCCATATTGGTGACAATCAGTACAGCTGCACAGACTAAGAAGCAGACATATTCAGTGCTGAAGCATGGCCACCCATCTGCAGAAATGCCACAAGTAACATGCTCACTTTAAATGGAAGTTAAATGACCACCACCAGTGGCTTATCAATCTGCTTTGGATTCTTGGTACAAGGCTGTTTTCCACTTAGCGCAATTGTTTGATTGTATGTGGCAGTGCTAGTCTTTGGATGGCAGAGGTCACTGAAGTCTCAAGGGTAAGACACAGGGCAATTTACTATTTATGTAACTTACAACAGTTTCCACTGCAGCCCCTTTAACCGGAACATCAAAACCAAGTAAGTCTCAGTGCACTGTAAATTTGCTGCCAGTTTACTGGGAAGATCCCAAACTTGGTGTTAAAGCAAAATCTTTAGTCTGTCAGGAATCAGATATCACCTGAAAACCAATGGGAACTATGAACAATCTCTAGCACCCAGAACATTAAAACAGCACACACTGTTCAATTAAAGAAACTCTCAGTCAATTCTCATGGAGAGGTGTTGCTTCTTTTGTTACAATTGATTTTCTTCTCTTTTATTAAAGAATGATAATATAAAAGCCAGTGGCACACAAAAATAAGCACAGACAGTTGACAAAAAAAAAAAAGCAAGGTCCTGTGCTTGATACTGCACCAATCAGTCAGTACCCATACTAAGTACTCAAATGCTACTCCTCTTAATATTTCCACATGGCATGATATCACTATGATATTTAGGAAATCGTCCTACCCACTCATCCCATATTTAGGAACTAGTAGCCCATCCATTTTCAGGAGCGAACGCTGCTGCTGGCAACATGGGCCAGCGTAAGGTTAAGGGGATGTTCGTGAGACATTGCAGGTTAGCACAGACTAGCAGGTAAACTACTTTGGCAGCTGTGTTGTTCCTAGTCTTTGACCTAGTTTACATATATCTTTGTGCTAAACATGTCTTAAGAAAAGCCAAATGAAAGGTGAAGGAGTTGATAGAGTTTGGTCAAGGACTGAACCAGGGGCCCTCTTCAGTGTGGTTTTCTGCACTCCCTTTAGGGATCGGACCACCCACTGAGGTACTGACAGCATCATCTGCCTCTGATCAGCAATAAAATAGATCATGGTTATTACACCCTTAGATTGCCATGGGCTCTCTGCTGGTATGCACAGGGGACCATGTGGATTGAAACTACACACAGGTCAATGTCCTTTATTAAGAGTTTTCGAGAGCCTACTATTACCTATAGCAAATTTCTCCAATAAATTAACAATGGGCAACTGAGGAAAAGTTGTACTTTCCAAAGGACAGCAACATAAAAATGCTGCTCTACTGCTGCTTGATCTGAGGTCTATTTTGTTAGTAGTGGTGAGTCTCTGCCCCCAAAAAATAGTTTTTCAGTTTAGATGAATCCTAGAAGATATTTGACAAAGGCTTATCTAATCCAAACACACCCAAGTATTCACTCTGTGCTCAAAGACAACCTTTCTGATTTCATAGGCCTTAAAATCCTTCATATAATTGAATTTAGCTTGCTCCTGAAGAAGCTGCAATTTTTTTTTCTCTTACTGGCTTGTATTTTTGTCTGAAAGTTGCTGCTATGCAAACCTCTCCTCCATGATTCCATGGTTTTAGGCCAGCTTCAGAGAAAGCTTTGCTTTATGACATGAGCCCATGACATTAATATTTCTAGATTTCAAAGAACAATGTTACGCCACCAAGACCTGACTGTTGCAGGGAGTCCCTGCTCACCAGAGATCAGTCAGATCACAGCCAGACATGTCAAACACAGCTGAGGTTAGTGGCTTGAGGCTGGCTGATTCACAAACACCCGAGCTCCCTTGTGAAGCCATACATGTCAGCCTATGACTGCGATGACAAAGGCTCACTGTCCAATTTTCTCCTCCCTGCTTTCTCCAAACTTTTACACCCCTCAGGACTGGCTGATCAGAATTAGAGAAGGATTGAAGGATTTGGGGAGCAGAAAATGGAAACCTCCCTCATAAATAATAAGGAGAATCTCACAATGTACTGCACCCCAGGGAAGATCTGTTTTCCCAAGAGTACTTTCATATAGCAGGAAGATTTTTGTACTCTTTCGAAATGCAATGCCATCAGTTAATATCTACATAATTTGTTGCCCCATATGGTAGCATGGATCAGGCCCTGTCTTGGAACAATTAGTGCTGAGTGCCTTTTCAGGGGAGTGCTTCTCCTCTTCAGTGGTCCACACTCAGATCCTGAAAAGGCAGAGGATGAGGGAGACAGAGAAACATCAAGTGGGCTAGGCTGCAGTAAGAAACTTTAGTAGATCCTTGTTTAAACATAATCAAGCAGGTTCTTCTGTTGCCTAAATGGCACCCATCCTGTTTGCCTGTAGAAAGTCTAGCATATTGTTTGCATAATGAAGTTATTTGGATAACACAACAGCGATTTAGATTAGGATTTGTTTACACAGCTAAATATGTTGAGTAATGAAATTAAAATGAGCTCTCTGCTTCTGTCACATCTGCAATAGTAGCTGGCTTCTTATGGTTGAGCACAAACTCGCTGCACAGATGTTTCTTGATAAGGTATAAATCAGTGTTAGATGCTGTTTATTGCACTGCTTTTACTGCCTTCTTCCCTGAAGGAGGGAATGTTCCTTGCACAGCAACCAGATGTGACCTGCAAGACTGTATGAAATACCAGTATAAGCAAAAACAGATCCCATATTCCGTATCAGGATCTGCCATGGCTCATCAAGAATTTATTAGACCATTTGAACATTTCTACAGGACCTAGCATCATACCACAGCCAGAACTTACTTATTATAACATGCAATGGAAAAGCAAAGCATCCTGTAAAGTGACAGATGCCTGAAATAGTAGGAGATTCCATTTCAGTTTGGATTTCTTCCTTAACGGTCAAGTTTCTGAGCAGACACTGCTGCTAGAAAGTCAGACACTGAGAGAGATCAAGGCTGCTGCATTTCAGGGCATTGTACGGAAGAGTTTCTCTCTTCTGTCATCCTACCCCTGTGACATCAATCCTTTGATGGTGACAGGGGAACGGACTTACCTTGCACTGGTGCTTTTATCAGGAAAAATGAAACAAGGAAGCTCCTCACCTGGGGAATGCACGCAGCTCAGAGTGCCATGGTAAGAGGCGTTGTTCAGCTCTGTGGGATTAGGGGATCCAATGGGAAAGACACATCCAACAACCCAGCATTTGAAGACAGCTAAGACTGGCCCCAGAGCCATGCTAGCTCCTCTGCAGCAGAAGAAAGCAAAACCCAGAGGCTCTGAAGGTAAGACAGCCAAACTTTGCAAGGTGTATTTCCTGTATTTGTAAGGTGTCTTGAAGCAAAATATGCCATTTCTTATTAAAAAAGAGGGAAGGAGAGAAGGATTAAATAGCTTTTCTTCCCTGAGCTAAGTTGTGTCTCTGTTCTGCTTCACTCGTTATATGGACAGACGAGCCTGTCAACACAGAAATAATGCCAAGTATTTACAGTTTAATGGAACCCAGGGACCAATTAACAACGCAGAAAACCACCAGGCAGTGAATTTCTTATTGTAACAGGAGGGAAATCGTACATTACTGCTTTCCCCCCCTTTCTTAAAATAAAGCACCAGCGCTTTGTCAATGATTCCTCAATAGTAATGTTTATTATCTGGAAGTTCTACCATTGCCCATATATCAACCGATTTCCATGTGCTAGGCTCAGTTACAAAACCCCTCTCTTTCCTTGTCACCCTGCCCCCAACCAAAAAACAAAAGAAAAAAAGAAAGAAATAGAAAGCTACTGTCATTAGGGCTTCAGATCAGGGATGCTAGAATCTGCCCTCAACCCCAAGTTCTCGAACTGCTGATTCTTCAATAGCTTGATGGATGTCATGCACCTCGTCTTGAGTTAAAGTCCTCTCTGGGTGACGGTAAATGATACGGTAGCAATGGCTGACCTTCTTTGTCCTACAAAATATAAACCAAAAGAGGGCTCATAAATACACTTGCCTACACACGCAAATACATGAGGCCAAATAGCTACCCTTTGGACCATTTTTTATTTGCTGTCTAATTTTGTTCCTGTCAGTCGAAAATCATCTAAATGCTAAAATACATAGTCTGGAGAGGTGGCACTGAATTTTAATCTTGGCAGAGGACTTCCCTGAAGTTCACCTTATACCCCAGCTTCTTTCTGCTGTGGGCCATTCTCTATTTCCACCCTCTGCCAGATCCTCACACTGAAACAAAACCCTTTGAGAGAAATTACTGGGCCTACTGGATTAAAATGCTTCTCACAGCAGGACACAGGCCAGTTCTGTGTCACTGACTCTCTGTTAGGAAGTCTAGATAGAGGAGAATATGAGTGAAAGGATTACCTGTATCACAGGCAAGGCTGACAAAGAGCAAGGCTGTGTAGGTACCGCCAGCGAGCTCTCTATGAGTTAACTTCGCATGTGTACAGTTGTGCTTTAGCGTCTTACCAGACTAAACAAGCCGAGGAGGAGGGCTATGCTACCGTGGCTGAACTGCTGCTGACGCCACAACTCTCTCATTTTGGTGCTAATGTGGCTATCTCTAGGGAGCACTGTGCACATGTACCCCACTTGGACATTATACACTCTGAGCACTAGAAAGTAATGTTAGCTAACGGGAGGCATCTCACAAGCCTCGCCATCCAGTCTCCAGCCTGGAGGATGAGACACTCAACTTCTGCTGAAAACACAGCTGTAAAACAGATTAAAACATTTATTTTTTCAGTTCATGTGACTATTTTCCCACCATTGGAAAGGAGAAACGAGGACAAAATGCATCTGAAGTCTCTACTTGTGGGAAAAGGACACAGAATGATGCTGGCATTCATATCTGAAGCAGAAAACGAAACGGCAGCTCCTTTGCAGCTCTTCCAGTACTGACGCGTCCCACAGCTGAGGTGCAGTGCACTGCAAGACGTTAACAGATTTATCGATGTTCTTTGGTGTGATGATAAGGAACCTGCTTCTCCACCAGAGTGCTGTGAGGTAGGGCAGTGGCTGGAAACCTCCACAGAGCTGTTTAGGAGAACATTCTTGTAAAAGCAACCAGAAATGCAACTGCCACCATTATGTACCATAAAGGTGGCCCAGCAACACAGGGGAAGCCCAGCAAACTGAGGAAGAAACAGGGCAAGACACGACAGCAGGCACAACCGTCAACATGTCTTGCTTCTTGCTATAAAAAGGAAAAGGTAAAAGACGAATGGGAGGAGGAATAGTGAAGAGGGGTGTGATGAGTGAAGCACTAAGATGAACAGAGTGACGGAAAAGAAAAAAGTAAATAAGAGTTGTTGAGTTAGCCAAAGAAGACAGGTTAATGTAAAACAAGGAGCAAAACAATAAGCTGACTAAGAGAGCATGAAATCCTTGTGAAGGAGAAAGAAGGGCATTTGACTGACTTGCTGTCTTGCTCTCCATCAAAAAGATGCTAGAGTACATAGCTCCTGTAAGAAAGGGGCATTTCTACAACTGCCATACTTGTATTACTGAATTTAAATACTTGGCAGTTGTAGTATCCTTTTTATTTTTAGTTTCAAGTGGAACCCACACAGCTTCTACTTTCAAAGGTAACTATTCACTTCAGTGAAAGAAGGAGAACCTGAGGGGAAAAATAAAGGGAAACTGGAGATCAAGTACTAGACAGAAGGATCTCCCAGACTAGCAGAACTTTGCATTTAATGACGCACAAAGGTAGTCAGCGAGCTTCAAGTCATCCTTCTCCTGGAAACTGTTTTGTGTTAGAAAGCAGGTTTATTATAGTTATTTGATTAAAACCAAGGTTATATGTATATTTAAGATGTGCTCACATACACAGATAACTCTCAAGATACACATCTCAACATTAAATCCTTCTAGAAACAAGGCACTAATAGCTTTTATCTCTGACAAGCTCTCTCATACCAGCTTTGTCCTACCCAGCCCGGATGGGAAGCTTGCCTTACTCCCACTGCCAGTTTACAACAAAAAGGTTATTTCAAATTAAACTGTACTTCCTTTTGTGTGTGCTTTGAAGACAAAGTACGTTACATCTGACTAGCATAAGAAAGGACAAACTGAATTTTAAAATATGTTAGCTGATTGCAATTAACTGCTAGAAACTAGGTAAGCGCTTTCATTGAGTGCAGGATAAACCTTGTAGAAAAGTGTATCTTCAAGAAAAGAGGGGGACGTGTAATTGCAGAGAAGGTGTTGCTCTGCTGGCCAGCTCTGCTCCACCTCTGCAAAGCAGCTGAGAGGGCAGATCTGGGAGACGCAAGTAACAAAGGGTTTGGCCTGATGCAACACTGTGAAAGTCGAATAAGAGAGGGATAATTACTTCACAATAGAGACAATTTTCAAAAACAGGCTGACAAATACCATTACAGTTGGTAGTACTGCAGCTTTTATAGTGTTACAGCAACCCACTTGACCAAAAAACATTTGCAAATTGCTCTGGCTGAAAATCTCTTTAGAAGTTGTAGTGGTGGTCCTGAACTCTTGAATATACTGGGAACATATCCACAGTGGAAATCCCATTACCACCATTTTATGTGATGTCAACATAAGTTTGCTTAATGTATATAAGCTGTGGTAAGGGTAGCTACAGCACTATTTTTTCACTGGCAATGGTTAATTCAAGCTAATGATTTTTCCGGACCCACGTGTTTATGTATCCCCCTCCCTCCATCCTAGTGGGAAGTTCATTCATGAAACAGATTAATTAAATAGGTTAGAAGATGACTCAGTAGTTTCTTGTGGGCGTTGTGGAAAAACAGTACTGTTAGGAGGCATTTCAATTAGGAAAGGCTGGAGGTCTTGTGGAGCAGCACTGGACTGCTCTGTAAGCTGCTTCTGTTAGCTGCAGCTGAAGCTAAGCATTGGTGTGGGAGAAATAAAACAGGGATAGCATTAAATGCAATTAATGTAATTTTAATTACAGCCAAACAATGATGTAACTATTAATATACATTGCTGGCAACACCTCACTCATGTGGCTGGTATATTACGCTTTTCTCTCATCGTTTCAGCTAGGATTATTTGCAAGTTTGTTACTAATTAGAGAGAAGGAGTATAACGGTTTAACAATACTTCAATAAAAGACACATGATAAGCTTCAGGAAACTGAAGCATTTTCTCCAGACTACTGTTAGCTCATTTTTCAAGGTAGATAGGTAAAACTACTTGTTATACTCTTTTCCCCCTTGACATCTAGGCTCTTTCCTCACTTCCCCCTGTCAATAAAATACTAATGGCTGTGATTCCTCATTGCCATCAGCTGCAACTGGAAACAGTTACTATCAACAAATAATAAATGCTTGCTGATTTCCTTTCTTGCCTCTGTGAGGACTCACAGAGGGTTTGCCTACCTTAGAGATGTGACTCTGCTAATGCATAAGAACCTCTCCCCTGCATGTCACACTGCAGCCTGGCAATACAGAAACAGCAGCCCTCTGTCTTGAACTGCTGCAAGTTTGAAGCTGAAACAGAGAGCAGCAGTTTCACCAGGTAAACAAAAGCAGAAGCTTAACACTGAATGCGGGGGACTTTATTTACCTAAACTGCCCTCCATAGAATTGTATGTGGTTTACAGTCATGCAGGTTCCTTCTCTTTCCATTAGGCTTTAGCTGATCTTAGTGTCACCGTGTCCTCTGCACCAGCCTGCAGCTTTCAGGTGGCAAAACACAGCAAATACAGTGAGGCACCACTCGAATAAAAGTAGCAGGAAGATAGTGATGCATTCTGATGCCACGAGAGGAAACAAGGATACAGTCAATGAACAAATATCACAGTGCAACAATGCCTAATGTTCTTTCACGTGTTTTCTGGAGGAAACAGCTTTGTGTCATGATTTTCAGCAATTGGCACGCAGCCTCCTCCATGTGCTCGAGAGCTGCTCACTGCCAGGTCAGATTCACTGCGTGTGGCCAACCTGAAGGTCAGTGTATATGTTTCAATATTTCAGCCTAGTATCTGAGCACAGCAAGAGGTCAAGAGGCCTTATTCTTCCACTAGTCTAATAAAATGAACGTGAAAGCAACCTAACACTGGAGTTAGGGCTAGACTGAAAGGATATGTTAGGTAATAAAAATTAATCCCTATATGTTGGATTTCCCTGCACAGATTTCCCTGCATTTAAAACATCCACTGAAGGATGATTTAAATACAAATTGGCTAGAAAGCTGATCCCAGATGCTACCAACAGCAAAACATCTAAAAATATAGTCACGAGGGAACCTGTCTCAGTGGTTGGATAAAAGTAAGACATGGGTCATTTCATACCCAAAATGTTGCCCAAAGAATAAATTCATGGTATTGGCATTTGTCTTTTCTATAACTACTAGCAGAGAATAAGAATGAAAAGTTCTCCATCCAAAACTTGAAGAAGGAGACAAAAGGGCAGTGGTGAGCTGAAAAAAAAAAATCTTTTAAATGATGTTCTACTTTCCATCTGTCTTAAAGCCCTGAGACTTCTATATAGAGGTTACCTCTGCTCGTATCTGGCTGAAGATAATATAGACTTAGACATTATTCTAGAAATTTGGATTTACTTTGAGGAATAGCAGACAATCCCTCATAGCCTCAAGAAGCAAAAAAGAGTACTCTCTCTTCTGCACTCTGAGCAATTTACTAAGCAGTATTATTCATCATCATTTCTATGTTGCACCCCTTCCTAAACAATACTATTTAAAAGGAAAGATCTACACACACATAGTAACACAAGTATTCCAGATTCTTTTTGCTGTGTCAATGAGGTTCTTCTGGGGTCTTCTAATTCCTGCCATAGCAGTTTGCATCCTACATCCTAAAGAAAGATTCATCATGTAACTACCCCACATAAAATTTGCACAGTATATAGTGACCCTTGTATGTTACAGAGAGACCAGGTCACGCTCTGAGTATGCATGGGATGCAATAGACCTTAGGGAAGAGAAAGGCATGGTTTTTTTGCAACA